TCTTATTAAACCTTTACTTAAAAATAGATTCTTAGCTTATTACTTTCCTACGATTTTGATCTCATCGTTTTAATACTAAGCACAATACAAAAAATATTTTTTATTTAATTTAGCAAGTATGACTATAGATTTTTTTGAATAAAACTTTAATTACTATTAAAAAGCATTGGTTATTATTCACGGTTTTGCACCCCTGCAACTGCAAAGTATGCCGGTCTTACCCGACAAATACAGCATCTCGCGAAATAAGCGCAATAAAACCTTATTTCTGAGAGTTAGGGTACAAATATTAAGTTGTTGCAGGAACTGGTATTCATATACACATTTATTCACACAGGCATTCGTATCTGTAACTACGCTATCTACCGCTAACTAGGGAAAATCGCCACTAGACGGTCTTAACCGACATGGGAGCCAAATCCGTCTATTTCACTGTGTTTTCAAAAATGTTGCTTATTTTCTGAACCGGTGGTCTTTTTGTCATTTTGACATATTTATTGTCAGATCAACTAAATATATTATTATCTAGTTTAACCAAATTTGAATTTAAGATTATAGAATAGCCAAACTAAGACCATTTGTATTTTTTTAAATTTAGTATGCTGGTCTTCGCCGAGTTGACCTTAAAACAGGTTATAAGAGCCAAAATGTGAAAAAGCAAAACAATAATTATAAAAAAAAAATTACCTTACGCCACTTCTCTTCTGTTTTTGAATCCTCTGAATCATAACAATTTAATATTTTTGTTAACTCCTTCCATTTCATCTGAATATAATGGCGACTTCGATGTCCACCAGAAGGTCTAGATATGTCTCCGTATCTACAAAAAAATAAATAATCAAATTTATAAATTATAGATAAACTTTTTTTAAATTACAAAATATTTAAACTTACTTTTCCATAAATTCTACCATCGTTACAAATTGCTGATGACTTGTACGCATTTTTATCTACTTATTTTTTAACATAGCCAATAGTAATCAAGAACATTAAATAATTTCTTTTATTTTAGTTCCGTTTATAGACTTTATAAACAAAACACTTTGATCGCAATCAAATCTCGATTCTCTAAAGTAAAATGTCAATGTCAAATGTTTTTTTTTAAAACTAACTAACTTTACGGCTCTGGGTTGTAACTCTTCTGAGCCTGAAATTACATTGTATAATTATGCTTCATAATACACTGCTTTACAATATGTTGATGCGTCACATTGTGCAGCCCTTGGGAGATTTTGACGGCAACTTGAGCCAGCAGACTGCTGACAGTTGGCGACACCTTATCTTGAGAATCACACCACCACAGACACTTAATGCACAGAATTGCACCACTTTTACATATCAAAATCCACTTCAAACCATTATTTAAACAATAATACAAGAGCAGCAATCCCTCACCGTTCAAGTTTCCGCCAATACCTCTTTTCAAATATTAACGTTTGACTTTCGTTTTGAAACTAGATATAGATCAGTCTACATTAAATTTGGCAAATATATTTCCTTCTAATTGACTAATTCATTACCTAACACGTATTATCCTTTTTATACTACTTACATATTTTTGTAATCCTTGATTTTTTTGAACAGTATGTAATTGATACAAAAATCATTAAATGGATCCATCGTCTTAGACTTAAACATAATGACGCAGACGCACCTTCATCATTACTCTTGTTATTTACTCTATCGCTCTCCCACAGACTACTAGACGATACTGCGCACGTAGATAAAAGCTTGACTAGAAAAAGCATTCGCGTATGCTTTTGAGATAGAAATAGGCGGGAGGTACTTTCCCTGGGTTACCAGATATTGTTCCATTTCCCCTGTTATAGGGTTATTTATATTCGCAATACTTAACCGATTCGTTGCGACACCAATTTTCGACAACTTTTAGCTGTGGTAGCGAACAAATATTTCATGACGCACCTGTCGTGATTAAAGTTGATGACACGCCTAACGAGTCAACAGCCATGAGTAAAAATAATTTTCGTTTTTATGCCTTTTTCACTAGTTTAGACCTAATTAAGTTTAGCTGATATCGAACATCAGTTGCAAACGGAAGGATACTTGTTTTAGTGGATACCTAAGTGTTTTTTTACGTGTTGTCCCTGAAATGGAGACTAATAATAATGTTTGTAAATATCAAACAATCAAGAATCTTAATTTAGAAAAAATAAGGTTTATGATTCATTGATATTTACAAATGTTAAACAAAGTTTCTACATTTGTAAATGAGCATTAATGTTTAATCGATCTATCTATAAGTAAATATTTTGTCATCGTCATGCAATCAAATTACACAATGAAAATCAATTAAATAAATATAAATTACAATAAAATTATTATAAGTCATAATAATACAGAACTGCGCATCGCACTCATTAATCCTATATAATATTATATAGTATATACTGTATAGTTGGACTCGATACGAGTATACGAGTATATTTTAAATTACATTTTACATACGTATTACATTTGGGTAATGGAATAAACTAACATATGAGTATGCTCTCGGATTTCAAGACATTGAAAAGTCATATTTAAAATCGTAAAAATATGAAAAGGTAGAAAAAATTAGATATTAATGAGGGGACTTTTTCTGCCACCAGAGCGGCGCCACTTTGGATAAGGGTGAAATATTTGACAGATTTCATAGCGAGGAAGTTAATTTGTTACGAAAATGTTTTTTTTTTCTGTAATATTAGTTATAATTTATATTAATTACATTAAAAATTAATGAACCAAGCTACCTACGTATATTCCTAAAAGAACAAAAATTAAAAAAGAGTTTTAAAAAATTTGGAAAATTCAAAAGTGCACACCTCGAACGGGACGGTTTACAATAGTGAAATTCAAAAGCTTCTTAAAGATTAAAAGCTAAAGCTAATTAAAAAAATCAAAGTGATAAGTTCAGTTTTTCGAAAGATATCTTGTTCAGATCCATACCGATTTACTGACATCCAGTTGAAATTATTTTCAATTAACTTTTTTTTAATAATAATCGAAATAAATAATCTTATAACTGTGTCAGAAGTATTTATTGAAAACTAGTCTAGTCTAGAGGAGATTTCAATTAATAGTTGCATTGGATTGATATTATATTTTTTATTATCTATATATATGTGCAATATAAAGCTGGTGGAATGGAAGTGATTTGAGTGGATCGCGTTTGTGATTTGTGTATTATTTAACACTAGAAACTGATAAACATTTATTTAAAACTAACTAACGTGGTAGAGCCATGCTGCAGCTATATTAGTAGTATAGTTGTAGCACGAATGGGTCGGCTCGACCGGGGAAGGACCACGCTCTCACAGAAAATCAGCGTAAAATAGCAGTTTAACGCTGCTGTGTTTCGTATGGTGAGTGTAGAGAACCGGAGACCCTTTTTACTGGCAAACAGGCATTCCATCTTAGTCCTCACGGGTGATAACGCATCTGCATTTTGATTCGCAAACGAGGATAAATGTAGATGTTTATGGGCCACAGCGACCACTTACCTTCAGATGGACTGTGTGCTCGCTTGTCACCCTATACTATAAAAAAAAACTAATTTAGCAAATAAATACCGGCAGCTGCAACTGTTTCAACGTCCATCTCGGACAGATGACAATACAAATACCGCGCAATGATTGTGACAATCATGGCCCATTCTGTGGTTGTCCATCATGGCCGATCGTGTATAGGGCCCATTAGGATGGACTTTTTATGATGAACTATTTCTTGCAAGCGGCCCCACAGAATGTAGACTAGTACCTTAGTAAACTAGTTTAGCCCCGGTGGTTCGACGAACAATATGACAACCAGACGGTGGCTGTTCAGTAATGTCTCAAATATCGCGAGGGTGAAATCTGTTTGAGATCACCGAATGGTGAGAGACACACTGAACCTTAATGTTAAGTTTGAGAGGTCACGTTTAATGAAGTAAACGTACAGTCTTCGTCATGCTCTGTTCCATAGCCCCGAAAATTTTCAATTCGAATCACAAAATCTTTTTCAGTATAGAATCTAGATGATTGCATTAAAGTATACGATATGAATGACAAACTCGTGGAACCTATTAATGCATTTGGAGCCAAGTTCTGCAAGAACCGTGGCAGAAAAAGTAAAAACTCTCCGATCATACTCTTTATCTCATAGTTGTTAGACGGGGAATTAAATTGCAGTCTTTAACAGAAATGATAGCATACAGGTAACGGAACAGACAGATCTTCAAACGCTTGCGGCTGGACTTAAGGAACTTGAACAAGCAATTGGGAGGAACCAAGACTCCAAAGCTCCTGCCAGAGATATGTCTACCGGACAAAGCAAAGTGGCAATGTTGAAGACCAACAGTGGCAACGTCCATTCCCGAATGCTTGAGATTTTGAGTGAGATTGAGAAGTTCTACGTACAAACGAAACAAACAAGAGTAACAAACCAAGTTTCATCCGACACTATTATGATGATATCCCGGACTACCGGAGGATAGGTTTTTTTTGGAAAGGTTTCACCACTTTGTCTTGTCTATGTGGACTATGGAAATTTGGGCAGTGCTACAGTCAGTGATGATGGTGATGATGATGACGACGAGGGTTTACTGTTTATGTATGAATACCTCATAATATGCAATTTTTAAATAAATTTACGACAGCAATTTTTATACTTCTGTTCCGTGTCTAATGTCAATTAGATCTAATACCTACGTCATATTGTTTCAATGCTCTAGCTATCTACTTATAACTGATTGTAGGGAATTGAGACCGGCCGTAAATAATTAACATATTAACTTATTTTGCCCGTGCCTGCCATGCCCTTCATGACAGTGTATGCTGGACATACCGTTGCAGCCTTTCATAAATCTTCTCCCATAGATTGCCCTCATAGGAAGTATTTTGCCATAGTTGCCACGCTTGGCAGGTGGATTGGCAACCGCAGTTTTTATGCTGGATATTTCGTAACTTTATTATTTATAACATTAAACGCTAACTAACTTCTCGTGAGACGTTCTGTTCCGGTGAATGTTTCAGTTGAGATCCGTGAAATTGGACGGTAGCATAACATCGCTGGAGATTCTAGAGGGTCCGAAGGTCGACGCTCGCCTGCTTCTAGCCGGCACTCGCAGCAGCGAGGTGTACGCGATCAATATTGACACATTTGTGCCTACCCTCGTCGTCACCTGTCATCGATGCGCCATCAACGATATCGCCTTTCCTAGGTTTGTACTTAATTTTTTCAAAAAAAAAGTTAATTTTAGGAAAGGTTTCCGTAAACCTCGAAACACTACTTGTTTTGAAAATGGTTCATGCTTGGAATCCATAACGATATAATCCAATGCCATTGTCATGGTAATAGTAAGTAGGGAATTATCTCGCAAAAAGGGCTAGTTGGGATACTACTCTAGCTATACCGAGCGACTTATTATCGTGGGAAAAAACGTGATATTGGTGTAATTGGTGAACGAAGTAGAACCTTATGACATAGCTATTTTTAAGTAACCAACTAAGAAAGATTCACGGTACGGACGATAGGTGGGTTGAATTTTCGCCCCTATAAATGTATATTGATCGTATAATACGAGTAACTTAATGTACAATGTAAATGGTAAGATTAAAAATTATGCCACAGGCTCATAATTTGTTTATAAATAATGGCTGTATTTTTCCCATCGGTAAATAAGTCGATCAATAGATTTTTTTTATAGGATAAGGGTGACAAACGAGCACACAGTCCACCTGATGGTAAGTGGTTGCTGCAGCCCATAGACATCTACATCTATCCTCTATTACAAATCAAAATGCAGATGCGTTGTCACCCGTGAGGACTAAGATGGAATGCCTCATTTCCAGTAAAAAGGGCCTCCAGCCACCTACACTCACCAAGCGAAACGCAGAGGTAAACCTCTACTTCACGCTGGTATTCTGTGAGGTCGTGGTACCACCCCGGTTCGAGCCGGCCCATCCGTGCGACAGCAAAAGCCGCCACGTGGCTCTACCACTGTTGAAATGCACTACGGTACTAATATTATGCACACGGTAGTACGGTCAACTCTCCGTAACTTCTTTCGACGACTGTGAGCGGGCGAGAAGACTAGTTCTTTGTTTTGTAAACCGCGAACGATTTTTTTTCGACCATCTGAACATTGATTTTTTTTAATGTGACTGAGATTACCCGGTCATTATCTATGTGCGCACTTTGTCCCCGTGATTTGAATTTTATTTCAGATATAAGTGTATAATTTTATTTAATATTTGCTTAAAAACTTTTGTGCCAGCTACCCACCTAGCCAGAGCCCGCGCGGTACACAGCTGTGACACAGTTTTTGTTCTAAATTGTCGGTTTAGTACTTAGTATACATAGAAGTCTTTGACTCATAAACATCGATCACTAATAAAAGAACTAGATACACATTCAGTCACAAAAAATATCCTTACTGAATGAGCGCCCACTCGAACATTTGGGTGCGCTTTTAATTTGTACGTAGCTTTGTGAATACAACTTTAGGCAATGCATTTAAAGGTTGAATTTACATTAATGTATATTTATTTCAACTAGAATTACGTCAAAACAATTGGCGACAGTTTTTAGAGAACTTTTGTATGGGATTGTGTATCTAGTTTTTTTATTAGTGATCGATGCTCTTAAAATGATGATTTTTAAAATTATCTATGCCACAGGGTCCTACTACTTTCGTAAATACTGGCTGAATTTTCCCGTTAATAAAAAAGTAGAGCAGTATATATAATGGTGGCGTGTAGGGGTATGTCGGGAGTGTTCGCGACGGCGGGCGCGGGGTCGGTGCGCGTGTGGTGCCTGCAGAGCGCGCGCGAGCTGCTGCGCATCGTCGTGCCCAACTTCACCTGTGCCGCAGTCCTCTTCTCCGGCGACGGCAAGTCCATCGTCTCCGGTTAGTTGGAGTTTTGTAATGTGATTAAAAGAATTTAAATGAAACTAAGTTTTACTGATTTTATCGCGTATATTACTTTATTCTAAATTCCCGAAGTTTCGAGCGCTTTACGCCCATGGTTAAAAACGTTTTTTTGCGGAAGTCTATTATGTTAATGTCCTCCAGACCGAATTTGGAGAGCCAGCCTCAACTCTGTTGAGGCTCGTTCTGGCTACTAATGGCAACGGCAACGGCAACTACCAATATTAATATAATAATAATATACATAATAATATTAATATATATATAATAATACCAATATATATATAATAATACCAATGGCAACTAGCTATCTGCGTAGGACATGATTATAGTGCTCGACAGGAGTGAATCATGCTACATCCATCTACAGCTTCAACCATGCTGCAGCTATAATATGATTGTATCACGAATGGGTCGGCTCGACTGGAGAAGAACCAAGCTACCGTAAAATAGCAGCTCAATACTGATGTGTTGCGTACGATGAGTGTGGAGAATCGGAGACCCTTTTACTGGAAACGAGGCATTTTAGCTTAGTCCTCAAAGATGATAACGTATCTGAATTTTGATTGAGATGTACTAGAAGAAACACCGAGTTCTAGGTCTAGATCTAAAAGCCACAGAATCCACTTATAATCATTAAGTGCTATGTTGTCACTCTCACGTACACAAGTTGTAAGAGCGTATCATTAATAAATCAGTTGTTACTAGTCTTTAAATAAAGTTTTACAAAATAGTCAAAACAAATTTCTAAAAAATAAACAACCAACAGTAAAACCAGGGACTTGAAACGTCACTCAAAATAACGTTACGCATCCGAATAACGATAATTCGTACCGTTCCACTAGGAACGTAACAAAATTAATTTCTTAGCTATAACGACGCTAACAAACAGAACGAAATCTAGAACTATTTAATAACAATATTGAAAATATATTGTTATTAATATAACGATATAACATCTTTATTTATATACATACACATATATATACATATAATCACGCCTCTTTCCCGTAGCGGTAGGCAGACACCACTTCTTTCCACTTGCTACGATCCTTACATACTTGTTTCGCTTCGTCCACTTTCATTATTCACTTCATACATGCTCTTCGGTTTAGGGTACTCTTGACCTGACCTTTTTTCAAGACGTCCCTGATTTGGTCTAGAAACGTCCGCCTAGGTTTACCCCTTCTAACACTTTCATTCACACTCGCCTTATACACTTTTTTCGTCAATCGTTCTTCATTCATTCTCTCGACATGGCCAAACCATCTCAGCATACCTTTCTCAATTTTTGTCACTATACCTTCTTTCAGACCACAACGTTTCCTTATCTAACTATTTCTTATCCTGTCACTCAGGTTAACTCCTATCGTACTTCTTAACGCTCTCATCTCAACTGCATTTATTCTGCTTTCATGTTTCTTCTGCCATACCCAACTTTCACTTCCGTACATGAGTGTCGGAACCAACATCCCCTCATGCACAGCCAAACGGGCCTTGTTAAACACCTTCCGACTGCTCATAAAGGAGTGCAAAGCTCCATGCACCATGTTTCCTGCATTCACTCTTCTTTCGATATCACTATCACACTTTCCATCTCTCGTAAACTTTGAACCCAGATACACAAACTCCCTTCACCTGTTCAATTTGTTCATCTCCAATCGAGATTTTGCAGTCTGTCAATGCCTCATTTCTTTCAAACACCATCGCTTTCGTCTTCTTTACATTCATCTTCATTCCCTTTCTAATAAAAGCTCCACTCATAGCAGTTACCATCTCCTGCAACTCCTCGGGCGAAGACGCAAGTAGTACTTGGTCATCAGCATAGAGAAAACATTTGACGAGTAACTCATTCATTCACAACCCACTTTCATTTTCTTTTAAATCTGTCAAGCAATTGTCCAAACCGAATGACGACCGTTTTCGTCGTCGGGAAAACGGTTGCGTTTCGTCCGTCAAAAATTCGACAACGACCCACTACTAAACGATATTAAAAGCGGATATAGGCATAACTTTACCGATCCCTATAACGTAACGAAAAATATTATTCTACAAAAATGATATTCTTTATCGTTATTTTTTGTAACGTTATTGATAACTTTAGGTTTTAGTGTCGTTACAAACTTTTTAACGTTATGAGATAACATTTAGTGTAACGAAACGTAATTAAATTCGTTTTCAAGTCCCTGATAAAAACTATATTACCTACCGATAACGTTATAGCATATAACGGTCTATTTCTAAACATAGGCGTCCTACATAGATTGCCTCGTATTTTCTATAGTTGCCACGCTTAGCAACCGCAGTTTTTTTTTCATTTGTTATTAGGAAGCCGATGCTGCCCATATACGACACCCATGGTTATCAATGTAATTCATTTAACTTACAACACCATGTATAAGTTTATCAACTCTATCGACTTTGCCCCTCTCTAAATCCTTACAGAAATGAGAGATTGCCCGTGCCCAGAAGTGGGACGTATATATAGGCTGTACTTTATGTATAAAATTTCTATAACAAAATATAATTAATGTGGCTAAACTCTTGAATTAATGTATTGAATTCGAGGCCATTCTGTATAAAATAACTGTTGGTGTGTTCTGACAGCGTGGAACGATGGTAACATCCGAGCGTTCACGCCTCTCACCGGCCGCCTGATGTACTGTATACTGAACACGCACAACAAGGGTACCTCCGCACTCGACATGACTTCCGACGGCCGCACGCTCATATCCGGCGGCTGCGAGGGACAGGTGCCTTTCGATACACATTTTTTTAATTGCTAAACATTAATATTCGCTTGTTCGAATACGACTAAAGCAATAGCTTAGCTATACATCGTAGCATATCCTCATGGATTCGAATGAGCCTACTCTTTTTTAAAAGCAAGTGAGCCGCAAGCTCGTTTGCCCCCTCCTATAAAAAAAATAGACTTTTACTACGTAGTACCATTATTTATTCTGTGCTTTTACGTTCCACGTATTGTGATCGGCTCCGTATCTCTGACTAAATGAAAGAAAGAAGGAAGAAAAAACTTTAGTTTGCCACAATAAACTGACGGGGGATGTTTTTTGACTGTACTATATCAGTGTTATGGTTTTAACGCAACTCATGCTTAGTGATGAACTTTTTTGGCATGACTTACGACTTACTAAGTAGAATAACTGACCTTTGAGTTAATGAATGAAATGCTAATAGCCGCGTACCCACCTAGCGCACAGGCTCGCGAGCCAATGCCTCGGCTTAAGTGGACGTGCCTCGGACTGCCTCGGGCGCACGTTGCCTCGACCGAGCGCCGCTCGTCCGCGAGCCTCAAAGGTGCCTCAATGTTCGCTGTTCGTTTGGTGGGTACGGTTGTATTTTGGCGCGCGAGGCTATAGTATTTGTTTTAGTTTTACTGTGAAGTCATTTGAAAAATCATTTTGATAATATAATATCATGAGCAATCAGGTTGAGTCGATTCTTACGATACGTACAAGATGCTGTGGGATCTAAAAGACTGTTTTTGTTTTTTTTTTAAACAATAAGCAACTAGGAAAGTAGCTGCAGCTGCAATTACATAACTGTCTATTTCGGATGCTCGAGGACTTATGATGGCTCGACCTGCCTCTGAGTTCCGGACAATACTATTGAGGCTGCCTCGCGAGCCTTCGCTCGCGAGCCTGTGCGCTAGGTGGGTGCCCGGCTATTGGTATTTCATTACTCAGTATAAGATGCGATTAAACCACGACGTTGATATCCAGTGATGACCAAAGCCTTGGATAATAGAGTCCCAAAACCAAGTTATTTTAAGAAAAATATTCCCTCGTCGTTCACTCGGAACCGTACTCACCAAATCAGAAGTTCATCCTAACTTCCGAACACATGGTATGAGTTATAAAGGATGCGTACCTAAGTTGTAGCTTAGTAGAATACTCTACCTCATATTATCCCGTGGATATTATGGGTCGATTAAAAGTTAAAGTTACAGCCTATATATGTCCCACTGCTGGGCACAGGCTTCCTCTCATTTCTGAGAGGATTTTAGGGCTGGGAAATGTCCACCACGCTGCCCCAATGCGTGTTAGCGAACTTCATATGTCTTCGAAATATTTTTTTCTTATTTTACAGACGTGCAGGTTTCCTCACGATGTTTCCCTCCACAGCCGAGCACGTGGTAAGTCAGCACTTAACAATTGCAATTAACAATTTCATTGGTGCCGGCGGGGATCGAGTCCGGGTTGCTGCGCGTACTGTGAAATTTACAGCGAGCGTTTAGCTCCTGAGCCACCACGGCTCAGTATCGCCTTGATGTAAACTCAAAATAAAAAAAAACTGCGTTTGCCAACCCGCCGGCTAAAGGTAACAACTGTAAATGAGACGATCTATAAACTTTTGATAGGCTGAAATTAATGAATGAGTAATAAATATATTATTACTAGCTGGCCAGGCAAACGTTGTTCTGCCCTTTCCGACGACTCGTCCTATAAAAAATTCGTAAATTCACAATAAAAAAATTTTGAGGGTCACTTAGCGTGATAAAAACTATCCTATCTCTCAAGTTGGATCAAGCAATACACATTTACAAAATTTCATTAAAATCGGTTGAGTGGTTTCGGGGTTCATCGCGGACAAACAATTTGACACGTAATTTTTATTTATATAAAGATGGAACTTGGACATGATCCCGCTGGCCGTATGAAGTCGCTCAAAAGACCGTGAAGAGGAATATGCTCGGAGTTTCTATGTCTAATAGAATCCGTAATTCTAACATAGTCCACAGTGGACGGTACCAGATTAAGCGACATATTTTAGCGGACCAGTAAGTTGAAGTGGCAATGGGCCAGCCATCCTCGAACCTCGAAGAACTAACAACCGATGGGGAAAGAAGTTGTTCAAATGGAAGCCCCGTACCGTCTTCGTCGTCGTAAGTGTAAGACGGTCCCCTGCTAAATAAAAAAAAAGTTAAAGTTACAGACTATATACGTCCCACTGCTGGGCACAGGCCTCCTCTCATTTCTGAGAGGGTTTTAGGGCAAGGAAAGGTCCGCTACTGCCCCAATGCGTGTTGGCGAACTTCACATGTCTTCGAAATATATTTTTTTCTTATTTGTCAGACATGCAGGTTTCCTCACGATGTTTTCCTTCACCGCCGAGCACGTGGTAAATCAGCACTTAAAATTGCAATTTACAATTTCATTGGTGCCGGCGGGGATTGAACCCGGATTTCTCGCGTACTGTGAAACTTACAGCGAGCGCTAACCATCTGAGCTACCATGGCTACATGACGGACCCCTGCTAAATGACGACCTGGTAAGACATACAGAAAATAGATAGAAGTAGGTGGCTTAGGATTGTTTTGTGGCATTCCTTGGCCTGCTTTTTTGTGTTGTGTGGTGCACAGGTTATACGTACGTGTCTACTATTTCTGAGTAAGAGAATAATTTGGGATTTAAAATAATTTAAACACCCTGCGATAGTTATGAATAATATAATTCGTATGTATTATAATACGATGAGTTCCGGTTTCGTAGCTTAAGTGTAAACATGTACGCTAAAGACCTCCGTGTGAAATAATTCATATACAGTGCAAAACAGTGAAAACTACATTATTTAAGTAACATTCTAACAAAACAAAGACTATAAAATTATTAAGAAGTAATAATCATAGTGCGGGCGTTAATACTTTCACGAAAAAACTAAATTCATTCATCGTCATTATAACCTAAAAATCGTTAACAAATAGACAATAGACTTGTCTCCTACTTAGTACAGTGCCACCAACTTATCTGTTCAGGTGGACAAAATTGGAACTAATGCCGCCATTTTGTAAATGACATTTCGCTGTCAGTTATTATTTATTCTGAGCTATCAGGTGAATGTTTTTAAAAAGTGCAATTAAAATGCCTAAAGCTCTTAAAAGTGATGCGCGACAGATTATCCTAAAAGTTTTATCTTTTATGAAAGAAGAGAAACGTGTACAAGCCCCAACTATACCATTTGAAAAGCTGTATGAGCGCGTTGCTGCCGCGACTGGTTAGTATTGCCAGATATGGAAAATTAAAATCACCAAATAATGTACTTGTAAAACATAGTAAAAAAATTATCTCAATTTACTGTAATTCGTCTAAAGTACCTAGCTTTGTAGTTTGTGGTCTGTGAAGTAGCTTTAGTGACGGCATATACACGGGCTTACATTTATTTAATTTTACCTATACAATAATTATTTGTCGTTTCGTTACAGGTGTTTCTGAGCGATTTGTACACAAACTCGTAAATGAAGAGAAACACGCTGAAGAATCCAATTCTAAAATTTCTACCCCTGGCAAAAAAAGGCAAAGAAAAACCGGGAAGCAAGAAGTTGATAATTTTGACATTGGTGTTATAAGAAGAAAAATTCACGAATTTTATTCAGTGAAAAAAGAAATCCCTACCATACCCAAATTACTGAGTATTTTAAAGGAAGATATTGATTTCAAAGGAGAACGTGAAACTCTTCGAAAATTGCTTCACAAAATAGGATTTCGTTATAAGAAAACGAAATCAAATAGAAAAGTGTTGTGCGAACGTAACGACGTAGTTGCATGGAGAGCAACCTACCTACAAAAAATTTAAGAAAATGAGCGTGGTGAAAAAAGACCTGTTATTTATTTAGACGAAACTTACATTCACTCGTCTCACTCAACTGGGAAATGTTGGCAAGGTCCTGAAGAAGATGTTGATTTGGAACCTGTTTCGAAAGGTAATAGGTGGATCATAATCCATGCAGGTGGAGAAAAAGGTTTTGTGGAGAATGCCCTTCTCGTATTTAAATCAAATACAAAATATGGGGACTACCATGATGAAATGAATAGCATTAATTTCAAAAAATGGGTATATGAAAAATTACTACCTAATCTGCATGAACCTTCGCTCATTGTAATGGATAATGCGCCATACCATAGTATTTGCGTAAATAGGTGTCCTAATTCAAACCACAGTAAGGCTGATATGCAGAAGTGGCTTGAAAAAAACAATGTAAGTTTCAATGAACAAATGACAAAACCTCAGCTTTATGAATTAATAAAGAGAAATAAACCTGCTCCGGAATACGAAATTGATAACCTGATGAAAAGTCATGGCCATGCTATTCTTAGATTGCCGCCTTATCATTGCGACTTGAATGCAATTGAAATGATATGGAGCTCTATGAAAAGGAACATAGCAGACAAAAATGTTGGAAAATCTAATGTTCTAATGCCCCAATTAATTGAAGATGCATTTAATAAAATTACACCGGTGCAGTGGAAAAACATATGCAATCATGTGAAAAAAATTGAAAATGAATACAGACTAAAAGACGCGTATTTAGATGAACCCTTTATTATAGAGTGTCAGAGCGATAGCGAAACCGATTCCAGTGACTCAGAAGATGAATTATTGGAACCAGTATCTAACGCGGGTACATCTTTCAAAACAGGAATTCCTGGAGTTCGACCGCTTGAACTCCGAGACCACGACCACAATTATTTTTATAAAATATAAATTATATATATATAAATTATCTTATCTTCCCGTGGGTGTCGTAAAAGGCGACAAAGGGAAACAGGCAGGAGATGGGCAGCAGCATCTTCCTGGTAACGACAAAATACAATAAAAAACTGCGGTTGCCAACCCGCTCGCCAAGCGTGGCAACTATGGCAATATACCCCCCCATAATGAAAGTTACGAAGAGACGGCCCCCAGTCCCCGGCGGCCCCGCTATTCCTGGCTACGGTGGCGACCATGGTAACGG